TACCGGCGGCTCTGCCAGCGCCGGGAGCCGTCGGCGGCAGCCGGGCCGTGTTGCTGGGGAGAAGGGCTGTGATGAAATCGCTATATTAAGCAACATGACCTCATCGCTTCCCCCGCGCACCGGGAGCCGAGGCCCCGCTGGGCGGGGGGGAACCGGGGCTGCGGAGAAGGAAGGGATGCAGGAGAGGAGATGCTAGGGGTCCCCGGGGGCTTTTTTTGGATCCTCGCTGCCCGAGGAGGGCTTTGATCCCCCGGGGATGATGGAAGGAGGGGGGGGGGGGGCACGGGGCACCCCACCAACCTGCTCCCCATCCCTTGTGGGAGCCCCCGCTGCAGTCTGGGGAAGGCAGGAGCGGTGGGGTGTCCCTTCGGACAGCCTTGTCCCCCAGCCCAGGTTTCCCAGCTGATCTCTGGAGGATGTGAAGGCATCTGGAGATCAATGCCCACAGCCCCGGCTGCCCTGGGCATCGATGCCCAGGCTGGGCAGGCAGGAGCAGTGACAGCATCATGAGAAGGATGCTTTGCTTTCCGAGCACACAGGAGTTACGGGTGCTCCATCCTCCCTGCGCAGCCGGTGCAGCATCCCCAGCAGACACAGGGCTCCTGGGCGCCACCAAAATCCTGCTGAGGCTCCCCCAGCCCAGGGGCAAAGTCCACCGGCTTTTCCGGAGCCCAGGCTGGAGCTCTGAGCAGCTTCTGCCTCCATCTGGGTCTTCATCTCCCACTGCAGGACCCAGCAGCGGGCAGGGAAGTGCCATCATGGTTTACAAACCATTTGAAAGCCCTGAAAAATTCCCAACAGCCCTGAGTGACTTGGTGCTCCCAAGCCCCCCATCTCCTGTAGGATCTAAACAAGCGCTTTTATTTGGCAACTCAGGGGCCTGCCCCGTGCACTTGGCAACACCAAGGCTGGGCAAAGCCAGCGCTGGCGGGGGGCAGGTAGGACATATCAGGTGTTTGCTAGCTCTCAGCTGGAGGGGCTGATGCTCAGCCCTGCCACAGAGATGCTCTGCAAACAGGATGGGGATGGTGTTCCTGCCAGGGCCAGGCATTCCAACAGAGCCCAGGCTTGGCAGCCTGCTCTCCCTGCAGCTTCCTGCAGATTGGAGACCCAGTGGTCCTTCCCCAGGGCCCTGTTGGAGCCCAAGCTGGGCTGGGGAGGGCAGGAGAGCATCTCTGTTTTGGCTCCCATACGTTGTATTTGGTGGGGTAAAACACCCCTGCAAAATTGGGAGTTTGCATGCCCCATGAGCAAGAAGGCAGAGGCAAGGGTCATGTTCCTCTTCTTCCCACACTCCTGATGGTCCATCCCCCCAACACTCCACCTCTGCCAGCAGCCTGCCTGCAAAAGTTAAGCTCCATCTTGGAGAATGGGGAGAAATCAGAGCCGGGGCTGGCAGTGGCTGGAACCGAACCGCATCTCAGCCAGGGGAAAACCCAAGTTCCCACCGGGGGTTTCAGCTTCTCTGTGAATACCCAAATCATGCTGGTGTTTGGCAGTGATGGCAGAAAAACTGCTAGAGAGGGCAAGGAAAAAGAATCGGGGGCTGGAAAAGTCTGCGTGTTGGAAAACAGGGTGTTTTCTACACTGAAAGAGCATCTGAACTTTCAGTGGGGAGAAGGAGGAGGTTTCTCCAAGGACAAGGAACCATGTAGGTCAGAGCAGCCCTGGCTGTTCCAGAGAGTCCACGGGCATCGTGTCCCTGGGGTCAGGCAGCGCAGGAGCCCGACTGAGTTGTGCAGGTTGAACCCTTTCCCCATCCCTGGTCCTTTCAGAACCTGCATCTATGGGGGATCTAGCCTGATGGGGCAGCCTCTAATCTGAACATCACCCAGGCTTTGGGATGAAGCATTCCCAGGTTTCCCACCCTCATGGGACCATGGCAGCATTGGGCACGGTGAGCTTTGATGCAGCATGGCTCCACGTGGCTATACAGCCCAGGCTGGGGCTATCCCTGCCCCAGCGTTGGTGGCATCCTGCAGGATGGTGGTGGCATCTGAACCTGTGGACCAGGCTAGAACCAGGCTAGAACCTCTGGACCACATTTGGTATTTCTATGCTGGATGATGTGAGAAATAATATTTATAGGGGAGGAAAAAAAAAAAATAGACAGCAAAAACAGAGCTCATCAATAAAGGGAGGGAGTGAACTGAGCACCCACTGCCACCCAGCTGAGGTGACACTGGGGTCGGTGGGTAGAGCACAGACCTAAGGGTGGTTGGGCTCACAGCAGGGTTATGCTGGCTCCAGAGGAGAATTAAAGGTTTTAGGATACTCGGTGTCTAATTCAGACCCTCATGCCCCAAGAGGCGAGCAGGGCCACGCGACGCCGCGGAACACGGGAGTCGGAGTCACATGGCAGCACCAAAAAGGGACTTAATGAAAAGCTACAGCCCCACGGGGGACCAGGGGGACTCGCCGAAGGGCTGCAGGCAGCGAGCCAGCCGGGAGCCCCACTGCAGCTGCAGGGAAAGTTATGGGCAGGAAAAAAAGACGACAGCAGAGCTTTAAACGGCGATGGCAGGGTGCAGCACTCACCCCAGCCACCCCCAGTGCTCCCTGCAGTGCCCGGCTGCTGGATGTGGGGCTGCTTCACGGCCTGGGGGCATCTCCATGCCCATCATGCCAGGGGCCACACGCTGACCCCGAGGATTTCCAGCCCCCAGTGTTCCTGCTGTCCTCTGCGTGTAGCTTAGGGGCTGTTTTGGGGACAGGGGATGGGGCAAATCACTTGCAAAGTCCCCACTGCCTGTGATGCCCGTGAAAGACATCACCCCCTCCAGTGCCCGGGGGTGATGTCTTCTCACCACATGCTTGCTTAGAGTCCTGCCTGCACCCCTTTTCCCCTGACGTGTGCCGGGCAGCCTTCTCCTCTGCCACTGAACCTGGAAACTTGGGACTTTCTCCGGCTGGCGAGTGCCAGAGCCCTTCGGAGCCAAGGGACACAAGCTGGGGGAGACTTGGCATGGGGACGGCTGCAAAGTCCTGCGTGTAGTGGCCAGGCAGTGCTTTGCCACCACTGGGTAAGGCTGATCTGCATCCTCAGCCGTCCTCCCTGTGGGGGACAGAGTAAGGGAGACCTCGCAGGCACCTCCACCCTGTGGCAACCTGGGTGTCCCGTATGGCTCGGATGGGGCTGAACCCCTCCAAAGCCCCGAAACCTCCCACATTTTGGATACCACACACCCCAGTCTGAACTTAGGGGTCCATCAGGAGAGGCAAACACCACAAGCCTTCCCCAGGTGGTGCTGGGAAGAAGCTCTGCTGTTGGCAGGGCCAGGCAGGAGCTGCCTGTATCCCGGGCAGCCGGGGCGAATCCGGCGGCAGCGCGAGGCGGATTGGAGCTGGTGTCTCCAGGCGTGCCGTGCCTCGCGCTGCCATCCTGCCCGCTTTGATCTCGGCCCCAACACAGAGCTGTCTGCCTGGAGACTCGCTCACGTGCCCGGGAATTAGGTCAGGCCTCGGTGGGGATTAGCGGGCGATGGTGGGCTTCACCGGAGCTGCTGCTGGGCAGAAAGGACCAGGCTGGAGTGAAGGGAGGGTGGGGAGCCCTCATGCTGCTCCCCCCCATCATCATCACAGCAGGGATGCCCAGGGAGGGAGCGCATCCCCATCCTCATCCCTGGGATGCCGGAGGGGGTTGGAGGGCTCTGGTTTCTCCTGGCCAACTATTAACCTCACCAGGACTTCTTTACTCCCAAACACGAGGCGCCCCGGTGCCTGCCGCGCTGCTTTTTATTTATACCTGCAGTGGAAATAAACCCCGCATCGTCAGCCTGGCAAGAGGCATGAGCTCATCTTTTATATTTGGTGGTGACGGAGGAAGGGTAAATAAACAGCAGTGGTGCAGACCTCCCTGCCAGACCCATCGGGGACAATTGAGAGGGGAGCTTTTGCCATCCCCTCCCGTAGCTGCTGGGGAAACTGAGGAAGGGAAATGAACTCGGGAAGCCGAGGCGGGGGAAGGCAGCTTCACTGGGTGCCCTCAAAAGTGGGTCCCAGCACCCCTGCCCTGTCTGAGTGCAAGCTGAGGGTACGTCAAGGTGAAACCCAGCTGGGAGGGTGTTTGGGGCTGCCAGGAGCTCCCATGCACGGGCAGGGGATGTCCTGGAAGCTGCCGAATCCACAGCACCAGGTACGAGCAGGCTGGCTGAGAGATGTTACAACGATGCTGAATTGAAGCTGGGGAAATATTCCCTGATTTGGTCCACAGTTCCCCACTGTGGGATGAGCAGGAGCCTCAAACTCCTGGCTGGTTCCCCGGGGTGTACAGGTCCTTGTGCAGGCAGCGTCTGTGTGGATGGGAAGGTATAGCCCCCAGGACTGGGTGACAAGGATGTCCCTGCAGCACCAGCTGATGCTTAAACCTGAAAGGTCTGGAAGGGAAAATCCCAAGTCAGTATTTAAGTCAGCCGCAGGTACGGGTGGTTTGGGGACCACAGGGACCGTGCACCCAAGGGCATCACGCTGCGGAAGTACTTGGCAGCCAAGGTCCAGCTGAGCCTGTAGGACTCCCTGCTGCACCCTATCACCCACGCTGCGACCAGGGACATGGGGCACAGCTGTCACCCATGTCCATGTGCAGGGGACAGCCGGTTACTGGGACCCATTCAAGCCTCTCCTTCAAAATAACCCCCACACACACACCTCCTCCCTGTCACCTCTTGGCTAAACATCCTCCACGTTTACCGAAACTCCAGGCTTACTCACACCTCCCCGGGCTGGCTGCAGCTGCAGGAGATGTCCCGATATTTCCTGCTCAGCCTGACTCAGCCCAAAGCCCCGGTACCCCTCTGCTCTGCTGGGATGCAGGTCCAGCATCCCGGTGGGAGGAGGCTGGGAGCACCCATTGCTTTTCCCTCTGGGCCAGTGGTCATCCCACACACCCTTTCCCCAGCCCCAAATTTATTCCTGCTTTTCAGACCCCAAAAGGCAAGGGATGCTCTCTGCTGGTCCCTGGCCGCTTGCTTGCTCGGCTGGCAGGTCTGCAAGCAGGTTGTGTGCTGGAGGGGGCTGGTATTGGGTTGAGGTTGGGGTTTTGGGGTATTTTCCTTCTATTTGTGTCAGACGGATGGAATCCCTCTGTCATTCCCCTGGGGAAGGGACGGGAACATCTGGAGAGCAGCGGGAGAGCTGTGACTCATCCTGCAGCATCATTAACTTCTTATAGCTGGTTATCATCTCCCTCTGATAAGGAGAGAGCAGCATCCGTGGGGTCAGGCCGTTGGTAATTGGCTGGGAAGGCTCCAGGGTTAACCCTTCCCCAGCTGAGCATCCCCGAGCCGCTGGGGTACAGCCAGTGCTGGGGAGCAGCTTGGAGCACCCCCAGTTACGCTCTCAGCCCAGCGGGGAGCCCAGCTCCATGGGATGGAGGGGAGCTGGGGCAGGAGGATGCCCCTGCATCTCCAGGAGAACAGAGGCAACGGGTGAATGGCTATTTCTAGCCATCGTGCCAAGGAGAACGGTGCCATGAGCAGTCAGTCCCTGTTAGCAGGGTGTAAATCCCACCCCCATCTCCCCATCACGCCTCTCTCAGGGTGCAAAGATGTTTTTTGAGTTCTGCTTTGAAACCGGCTGAGCCTTCCCTTTGAACACCCCCCCAAGCCCATGCCTAACGATGCAAATGAGCTAATTAGGCCTCGGTGGAGCCCGGGGGCTGATCGCCTGGGGCCGGAGCCCGGCAGCGGCCCCTTCCCTGCACAGAAACAGCTTGTGGCTGCTCTCCCCAATCCGCGCCAGCGTCCTGAAGGCAAGTGACAGGTCCCTGAAGAAGCCTCCGCGGTGGGCAGGGGGGAGCAACCGGGATCCCCCAGAGTGAGGAGGAGTTTGGGGTTTGCCCAGTGCATCCCGCTGATGGGAGCAGCTCTCTGCAGTGCGATGAGACCCCAAGATCTCTCCCAGCAGAATCCTTAGGTTTTAGCCACACACTGAGGGGTTTCAGCCCAAAACAGGGGTTGGAGCATTTCACAGGATCTCTGACCCAACTCTCCTTCCCCTGCCCGGCTGGAGCCAACCTGTCATCTCACTTCTCCATTTTTGCTAGCAAAACTGGGGGACTGGCTGTCGTCCCCCACCAAACCCCAGTGGAAATAATTCTTCTGGCCAGCCAAGAAGGTCCACAAGTGTGACTGGGAGACAGGAACATCAGCATGGACCAGAGCAGGGCTGGGGTGCAGCAGGCCAGCTCTGCCCACCTTGAGGATGCCGAGGGCAGAGTGGTCCATGGGGTGATGCTGTGATGTTGGGGGGTGCCAGAAATGCAGCACCCGCCTTTGTCCTGGGTTGCGTTTGGCCACGCTGGACGGCTGCCTGTCCCAGCATGGTGGCATCTCTCCCAGCCGTCCCCGTGCTGCCCCTGGGCACAGTTCCCAGCCAGCCGGGTGCTTGCTCCTGAAAATGAGGTAGCGTCTCCAATGGCTGGGTTAAAGGCTTTGCTGGGCATTGGTCAATCTGTTTTCTCTCTGGTCTCCAAGCCAAGTGCCAGGCACTGTCCATAAGGGACCTGCTACGGCTTCTTGTTCCCAAGCAAGGGGAGGGGGAGGCGGGCAGGCTCCCAGGCTGCCTGGCCCATGGTGGGAACACTCCAAGGAGATGAGATCAAGGTCAAGGTACCCAAAACCAGCCTCTGCTAGGAGCTAGGGAGCTGCTCGCCATCCCAGCCCCATTGGCCGGGCACCTCTGAAGCCTTGTCCTGGGAAACAGCTTCTATCTGGGTTTTTGGGCTTATCACCCCAGAAGGGAGCATGGCCACACAGTCAGCTGAAATGGTTGGAGGTTCGGGGCATTTTCTACTGGAAAATGCAGTGCTGGGCGATGGAGCATCTCCCAAAATGGCTTTGATTTTGGTAAAGCTACATTTGGGCATAAAGACCCAGAGAGAGGACGGGAAAGGGGCTCAAAGCAGAGGAACTCCACCATCTTCTCAGTCACAACGCACTGGGCCATTTAGGGCCTGACACATCGTCTTTAAGGAAGTGTAAAATTTGGTCTTTTTTCAATATTCTCATTTAGAAGACGTGAGAAATTCAGTTTCTACAAACAAACCATTTCAAACAATCACAAATATCTTGGGCTTTTTTATTATCTTCCCCCCCCCAAGATTTCTCCTATGAGGAGAATTTCAAAACATTGCATTTGGCTCCAGTTCGAATCAAAGGCAGATTTTGAAACCTCTAGATCTTTGCAAAAGGGACCGTTGCCCTCTGGGGCAGCCACCTCCCGGCCCGGCTGGGCTGAGAGACCTCCAAGAAAAACGCATGAGGCAATACCAAAGGATGCTAAAAGGGCTCTTCGCCCTGGACCCCGGTGAAGCAATGTCCCTGTGCTGGCCCAGCTGCTGGGCTTGGACGGACGTGACCCACCCTTGGGCTCCTGCTGGACCGTGGGACATTTTCTCAGAGCACAAAGCCCAGGCTGGGTGGGCTCAGCCTCCTCCAGGCACTTTGTCCCATCCTTGGAGCATCCTTCACTGCCTTCCTCAGGGAAGATGCTTTTTGGGGCACATTTGCAGTATTTCAGGCTCGCTGGGGGGTGACGTGGGCTTTCAGCAATGTGCGTTGCCTGGGGACCATAACCCCGTTCCACGGATGCATTTTTCCAAGCAGTTCCTCCAGGGCTAGGATTGCCACATGGTGCCTGGACCTTGATGGCCCAAGCTGCTCAGCCTGTCCCGTGGGTGCTGTCCTGCAGTGGGACCCCAGTGGGACAGCGAGACCCCTTGGATGAGTGTACACAAGGCAGAGATGCTGCCTCGTGCTCTCCGTGGGCACGTGGAATTCAGGGTCAGTGGAAACTGGGACAGAAATATTTGCTGGGGGTTTGTTCTTGGCAGTGAAATCATGCACTGCCACACCTGGGAGATGGGGGTACGGGCAAAGAAATTGGCAAGAGGAAAGCCTGAAAGGGTCCAAGAGCTCCAAGCTCTGCACCGGAGGGGGCAGCACCAGGGGGCTAAGGATTCCTGCTGGGTCTCTCCTTGTAGATTCCTCAGCTGTGGACATGGACCTGTATGATGCCCAGACGCTAGCAGAGGCCCTGAAGTGGTACCTCCAGGAGCTCCCATCACCCCTGATCCCTCCAGCTCTCTACAGCGAATTGGTTCACATGGCTCAAGGTAAGCATAGCCGGGCTCCCCCCATGCCCAGGACCTTTGTGGGGCTGGAGAAGCTTTGGGAAGCCCAGAGGGGGCAGCACCAGGGGGCTAAGGGTTCCTGCTGGGTCTCTCCTTGCAGATTCCTCAGCTGTGGACATGGACCTGTATGATGCCCAGACGCTAGCAGAGGCCCTGAAGTGGTACCTCCAGGAGCTCCCATCACCCTTGATCCCTCCAGCTCTCTACAGCGAATTGGTTCACATGGCTCAAGGTAAGCATAGCCGGGCTCCCCCCATGCCCAGGACCTTTGTGGGGCTGGAGAAGCTTTGGGAAGCCCATGAAAGGCCCCCCAGCATCTCCAGCTGATCCCACCCCCTTCCCGATGCTGCACTAAGAGCAGATCCCGAGAAGGACCACTGGGAACATCTCCTGTGCCAGAGCAGCCCAGCACCTTTTGGGAGATGCTCCCGGAAAGCAAGGAGAGACCAAGAGGGCAGCTTTGTCCCCCTCTCACCCCCCCACCATGGTCCTTTCCTGCTGCAGTGCCCGGAGGAGGAGGTGCTGCCTGCTGGGACGGGCGGCTGCCAAGGCTGGGTGATGCTGGCCCCAGAAGAAAGCATTATTATAATATTTTGGCTCTGTTGCCTGGGAATTTTTTACTGTAATCTCGTTAACTCTTGGCTTTATATGGGCATAGAAAATTCTCCGCTTTTTCAGCTTAGTGCCATTAGGAAGTGCCTTTGTGCAAATGTATGAGAGCATCAAGGTTTCAGTTTTATTTGATTATTTTTTTTCAGATAAACAGGGCAGGGCTCATACCCGGGTCAGCAGAGTCCACGGTCCATCCCAACAGACAGCCTGGACCAAAACCCATTTCAAATTAGTTGCTCAGCAGAGCAGAGCTGCTCAGCCCCTGCCAGCCCAAGACCCCGCAGGCATCACCGGGCACACACAAAGCCCTTGCCCACCGTGTTAGGCAGGACCTGAACCCCTTGCTGCCTTTGAAACCAGGATTTCCTCTTTTGCAGCAGCTCTTGTCTCACCACCGGTCGCTGCGGTGTCCTCCATCCCTGTGCATCACTTCCCAGCCTTAAGCCAGATTAGTGCTTGGGCAGATCATGCTCTTGGCTGCCTTAAGAGGCACTAAAAGATCACCTGTGGCCAGACCAGCGTGGCCTTTTCCTACCATGCCTTGGTGAGAAAAAGCAACGGGCTCTTCATGGCCTCTGGCAAGGCAGGAGGGACACACAGAGAAGATGGGGGATAACTCACACCCTGTCCTCCCTGCCCTGCACAGAGGCACGGAGACAGGAGAGATACCCCTGGGGCCAGTGGCACCGAGACGCTGCCTTCCCCTCACCCGTCGGAGAGAGGAAAAATCAAAGGCTGCCTCCCTTCCAAGGATAAAAACGCAATTAGGAAGCAATTAGCTGGGTTGCCTCGTTAAGCGACTTCAAAGGGAAGCGCCTTTCCCCACAGCCTGCCCCAGAGCGGGCTCTGCTCCTGGCACAAAGGGTGCAGGAGGAGAAGGAGGGGGCAGGAATGGAGGCAACACCCATGGGGATTTCTCCGGGGCTTAAAAAAAAAAAAAAAAAAAAAACAAAAACCGAAAAAACCCCAGAAGTCTTTCAGAAGACGGTGCTGGTATTTGGCAGCCTGCCCTGCAAGCAGGCTCCTTCGGTCACGCTCGAGGCTGCGGGCTAGAAAAGTGGCAAGCTGACCACCTGCAAAAGAAGGTCAAAACCATCCCCAAGTTCCCCCTTTGGCTTTGGACCTTTCCCCTGTAGCATCCCCTACAGGGGATGTTGCATTTTGGGTGCAAAAAAGGTACAAACGGGGGGTCAGGGAGGCCTGGAGCAAAGCCAAACCTCCCATGGGAACAGCTTGTTGGATACAGGGGCACACAAACACCCCATCACCACCCCAGACGGGTTGTGGACTTTGCTTCAGAGGGGATCCTGGACCCCCCACCCCTCCAGCTCTGGTGTATCCGGCCCCGAGAATGGATGCTGGGAGGCAGCTGGGCACCAGCCAAGCCTCAGCCCTGGTGCAGAGAGCGGCAGGGAGCTGAGTCAGCCCTGAGCCAGGCTTTGAGGCTGGCTGAGAGCAACACAATCCCAGGGACCTCCCTGTCCCCCCCGGCAGATGAAAGGGCCAGGCCAAGGCGGGGATGGAGGACGGCTGGAGAGGGGCTGTTTCCTGTGCCTGGGACAGGACCACAGTCCCAGGCCGCTGAGCTCACAGCTCACAAGACTGGGGAGCCCCAGCCAAGGCTGCCAGAGGGCACTAGGGGCATGGGGGGACACTGGTGGGAACACCATGGGGCTGTAGGCTGCTCGGGGCACCCGTGACAGGGGTTGTGGCAGCACCTTCACGATGTACAACACTGTTAAGGTACCTGCTTTTATTCACATGGGCAATTCGGGTATAGCTAGAAGTAGTTGTCCCCACATCAACCTCCCTGCTGCTGCATTTCAGGGGACGAGAGAGACCATGCTGGGAGATCTACAAGAGCCTCACCACAGCCTTGTCTGTAGCTCTCAGCCCAGGTGCAGCTTTTTTTCTCCTAAAAATCCTTTTCCCTCCCAGTTTGTTTTTTTCTGCAAGGGAGGGCTGAGCCTTTAAACTCGGCAGATCTTCCAGCTGGTGCCTATTTCCCCACCTCTCCTTTGCTCTGCCTTCTCCACGGCTTTGCTGTGCACCAGGGCAGGGGGCTGGCAATTCTCCTGCATTGGAGGAGTAACGGGGGGTGTTTAGGTGGAGCCCCTGCCAGGTGAGGAGCTCAGCCTCTGATGCTCTCTCCCTGGCTGTGCTGAGTGGTGGAATGTGCTAAAGTCACCCTACAACCTCATCTGGGGTGGTGTGAGTGGGTAAACGGGGCTGGCAGCCTCCATTGAGAGGTGGCTGAGACCCCCAGGGCATCAGCTCTGTGTGCCCTGTGCTCCCTGGGGTACCCACACGTCCCACAGCCTGTCTGTGGGAAGGGATGGGCTGCAAAGAACTAGTCATGGTTTTGGGGGGTGAGGCTGAGGTCAGGTTTTTTAGGGGTTTGGTGGGGAGTAGAGACCTGCCACAACTCATACCACATGTGCTGGCGGGTGCTGGGCTCCCATGAGGGACAAGGAGATGCCACGACCTCCCAAACTCACCTTTCTTCTCCTGTTTCCTGCAGAGACCCCAGGCCTGGAGGAGTGCGGCCAACGAGCCAGAGCCCTGCTGGCCCCCCCGGCCCTCCCGCAGCCCCAGGCCCTGCTCCTGCGCCAGCTCACCCGCCACTTCTGCCACCTCTGCCAGGCCACCCGCAGGAGCCGCCTCTCGCCCCGGCTCCTCGGCGAGCTCTTCGGGGAGCTGCTTCTCCGCCCCGCGGCAGCCAGGTGAGGTGCCCCTGCCACGCACAGGATGGGGTGGGCAAGAGGAGGGTGCCTGTCACCCACCAGGGGCATGTTGTCCCCCAACCAAGCTGGTTTTGCTGGATGACAGCCCACCAGCAGCTCAGCCCCGGGGGTTTTCTGAAGGGGGAGGCCAGAGCTGTGAGCTCCCATCCCAACCATGATGCTCTGACATCACACCCGTTACCATGATGACCATGCGTGGTGTCTCAGATGGAACTGGGATACATGGCAACACCCCAGTCCTACGAGAGAACCATCGGGGTGGCTGGCTCCTGTCCCAGGGCCATGAGGGTCTCCGGGGGGGGCTATGAGCTGCTGGCACACTTGTGGACCACCCCCTTTTCACCCCACAGCACCGAGGCGAGCCCCGAGCTCCGCGCAAGGATCCTCGAGTCCCTCATCGTGGTCGGCGAGGCAGCAGAGGTGCCACCAGCCCCTGGTAAGAGATGCCCAGCTGGCGATGGAGGGGGGGCAGGAGGAGTGAATTTCGGGAAGGTTTTTTTGGTGGCTGGTGCAGTGACAGGAAGGTGTCCTTGTCCCTGGTCTGGTCCCCTGGCCAGGCACATTGTTCCCATTTTCCCCCCTCCTTTCTCCTCGGAGATACTGGTTTTGGGGCATTTCTTTGCAGCCCCTCGGGAGGTTTGCGGCTGTTTTATTGCTTAATGTCTGCGTCGCTGCTCTTTGGTCCTGGTGTGGTGTGAGTGGGTCCAGCTCCCCTATTTTGGGGGCTCAGTAGAAGTGGGTGCTCTTGGTTTGCGGCGGCTGCACAGCTTTTTTTGGTAAACTGGGACCTGGCTGCAGTCTGGGAGGAAAAGAATATCAACACAACCCTAAAATGGCAGGATGGTGCTTGCTGCAGGATCAAACCCGGGTTTATGAGTTTTGACTTGCATTTAGTTTTCATGCGTGCCGAGTCGCGCTGCGTCCATCAACACGCTGCTGCTTCCCCCGTGGGACATCCCCAGGGTGGGGATGAGGATGGGCATTTGTCCCCCACCTCACCGTGTGTGGGAAAGGAGCTGGGAGCCTGTTTTTCTGCAGATGTTAATAATGCCACCCAGCCTTCACCCCCCAGGACTGAAGTTCTGCCCCTTTTATTACCAACACCAGCATTTGCCTCCAGCATTCCCTTGTTCTTTACTTCTGCTCTGGTAGTTGGAGTCCCAGCCCTCTGCTAGCCACCTTCTCCTGCTGTGTCCCTCTTGCTTGGTGGCATCTCATGTCTCATCAGTGTCCAAAACCAAAGAGCATGCCCCTTGTGCCCTCTGCAGCACTCCAAGGATGGGAGGCAAGTGGTCCATCCAGGCAGGGAGGAACATGAGAGGGAGGAAGGGTGGGTGCTCACTGGAGCACAAACTGCAGACCTTGAGGACCACAGAAGTCCATCCCTGTGGGATCCCATCTCCAGGCACCCGCCGAGATCCATCTGTGTCCCCGCACTGAGCTGCCCAGGCCCCCAGGAGGCACAACTGCTTCCAGCCCTCTTTGCTTGGATATGTGCTGGCGTTGGCCCCAGTGAATCCTGTCTCCTTGTGATGTATCTGGGTCCTTGTCATCACCCTGCCTCCCTGGGGGGTGGCTGGGCCAGGCAGGATTACAACTCTTAATATTCCTCGTAAATCAGCCCTTTCAGACCTGTCATCTTATTTATTGCTCTCCCCCAAGCTCTCACCCACGAGTTTGTCGAGATCTGTATGGCTCTTCCACCCGCTGATCCAGA